CTTCCGACGTACGAGATTAGACTTGTCCATATGGGCCATTGGGATTGCTTGAAACTGTACATGTGGTTTTATGGAGTTATAGGAATGTGTTTATTCCCCCCCCCCACTTGGGCTTGAAATCAATCATTATATCACTTGTAAGTTTTACCAAGGTTTGGAGCTATTCCGATGTACGAGATGAGAATTGTCTGTATGGGCCCTTAGGATTGCTTGACACCGTACATTTGGATTTACGGAACTGTGGGCATGTGTTTTTTCCCTCCATTTGGGCTTTAAATCATTCATTATATAACTTCTAAGTTTTACCAAGGTTTGCGGCCATTCCGATATACGGGGTGAGACTTGTCCATATATGCCATTATGATAGCTTGAAACTGTACATGTGGGTTTTTGGAACCATAGGCATCTGTTTTTTCACTCTATTTGGGTTTGAAATAATTCATTAAAGATCTTATAAGGTATACTAAGGTTTGGAGCCATTCCGATTTACGATATGAGACTTGCGCATATGGGCCATTAAGATAGCTTGAAACTGTACATGTGGGCTTGCGGAGCCATAGACATGTGTTTATTCCCTTCATCTGGGCTTGAAATCATTAATTATATACCTTATTAGTTTTAACAAGTTTTGGAGCCATTCTGATGTACGAGATGAGACTTGTCCATATGGGCCATTAGGATTGTTGGAAACCGTACATGTGGGTTTATGGAGCCATAGACATGTGTTTGTTCTCTCTATTTGGAATTGAAGTCATTCATTACATATCTTATAAGTTATACCAAGGTTTGGAGCCATTCCGATGTATGAGATGATACTTGTCCAAATGGGCTATTCGGATAGCTTGAAACTGTACCTGTGGGGTTTTGGAGCCATAGGCATGTGTTTTTTCGCTCCATTTGGTTTGAAATCATTCATTAAAGATCTTATAAGTTATACTAAGGTTTGGAGCCATTCCAATGTATGATATGAGACTTGCCCATATGGGCATTAATATAGCTTGAAATTGTACATGTGGGCTTACGGAGCCATAGGCATGTGTTTAGTTTCTCCATTTGGGCTAAAAATCATTCATTATATATATATATATATATATATACATATTAAGTTATACCAAGTTTTGGAGCCATTCCGATGTACGAGATGAGACTTCTCCATATATATGTGTGTTTACGGAGCCATAGGAATGTGTTTCTTCCCTCCATTTGGGCTTGAAAATATTCGTTATATATCTTATAAGTAATACCAAGGTTTGGAGCCATTCCAATGTACGAGAAGAGATTTGTCCATATGGGCCATTAGGATAGCTTGAAATCGTACATGTGGGTTTACGGAGCCATATGCATGTGTTTATTCTCTCCATTTTGGCTTTTAATCATTAATTATATACCTTATAAGTTTTACCAAGGTTTAGAGCCATTCCGATGTACGAGATGAGTCTTGTCCATATGGTCCATTTGGATAGCTTGAAACCGTACATGTGGGTTTACGGAGTCATAGGCATGTGTTTGTTCCCTCCATTTGGGCTTGAAAACATTGATTAGATATCTTATAAGTTATACCTAGGTTTGGAGCAATTCCGATGTACGAGATGCGACTTGTCCTTATGGGCCATTAGGATAGCTTGAAACCGTACATGTGGTTTACGGAGCCATATACATGTGTTTATTTCCTCCATTTTAGCTTTAAATCATTAATTATATACCTTATAAGTTTTACCAAGGTTTGGAACTATTCCAATATACGAGATGAGACTTGTCCATATGGGCCATTTGGATAGCTTGAAACCGTACATGTGGGTTTACGGAACCATAGTCATGTGTTTGATCCCTCCATTTGGGCTTGGAATCATTCATTATGTACCTTACAAGTGTCACAAAGATTTGAATCCATTCTGGTGTACGAGATGAGGCATGTCCATATGGGCCATTAAGATTCTTTAAAACCGTACATGTGGGTTTACGGAGCCATAGGCATGAGTTTTTTCCCACCAGTTGGGCTTGAAATCATTCATTATATCCCTCCATTTGGGCAATCATTCGTTATATACTGATGAGAATCATATAGCTTTCCATGGTGGTTCTTCTAGTGAGGAGAATGAGGTAGTCCTTCATTCTAGTTTTGGGATGCCAAGTTTACTTTGCAGGCTAATCAAGGAAGAAAGGATGGATCTTGACTACCTATGTGATAGGGAGTGATAGCAATCTCGTAGATGAAACAAATTTCGTTAATGCAACCATCAGACAAGAAAGTACGAAGATAAGTTGTCTATCCTGTGAAACTAAAAAGAGTGCGGAAAATTCACAGAAAGACGATCGTTTATCTAAGGAATTCTATCTCTTAACTCAAACCAAGCAAACAACACATAATCTATGAAATATTCGAATTAAACAACAACCCACACTAAGAATAGTAAGGACACCATTCAATATACTCGATCAGTCATCATTCAAGAGACTCAAGAAAGGTAGGAGCAAACAATGCTCAACTATGAAGGAATACTATTGATTAGTAATCTCCATAACTAACAAAGATATGCAACACATACACTATCTCAAAATGCTTATGCCAAAGCACAACTCATCCAACAAAAAGTAGGAAAAATCCCACCAAGGAGCTCATGAATTCAAAAATCATAGCCAAAAGAAAGGCTCAACTCTCGAACTACTAGAAGTAGTATGAAAATAAGAAGTTTAGTTTTAAAACAATTCTATCAAGAAGCATACTTGAAAAAGAACGGTTTCTGCATGATCAAAAGATCCAAGACAAGATGATAACCCTCTTGGTTAAATCATACTTGACACGAAAATTGGAAACACCATTTGGATAGACAAATTAGCTTCGTACTTTCTTGGTTGATGGTTGCATTAACGAAATTTGCTTCATCTACGAGATTGCTGCCAGTTTTTGGTACCATAGCTTGAATTGTCTAAGTGATGGTATTAATTGATATTATCATATCAATTTTTAGTATCAGTTTGATTTTCGAGAGATTTCTTTTTGATTGAGGACTTAATAGTTCTTGGTTTTGAGAATATCTTGAGTTACCATGGAATCCGTTTCTTGGTGTGGTAATCGAGCTTTCTGCTACTAACGAGTAGTACTATCTTTATTTGTTTCAAGGTTCCTTCTTGTTGCAGAATGGGTTTTGAAAAAATAAATCAAATTTTTGTGAAAACTACGTTTTCAAAATTGATCTTGTCTTTTGTGTGGTTGTGCGAAATTTCATACACATTTGCTTGATCTTGTGGTGTTATTTTGAGGTCTATGCGAGAGCTTGATGATGGTACGTTGGTATCTAGTCAAAGTGGGCGCGACATCTTGAAATTTATCCTTGATTTGCAAGTAGAGAACTGTTTCTCCTATGAACAACTAGTGGATCTTATGTATTGAATCTTTGAAGAGAGAATTGATGACAAAGAAAAGCTTCTTGCTCGAGATAGCCTTTTCTTTCTAAAGAGATGTCTTTACATGAGGAGGGTTTAAGAGTTTATCTTGTGGTAAATATCTTGGATCTATTTTTTGAAAGGTGAAGCTTAGTGATTAGGAGCAAACAATGCACAACTATGAACGAACACTATTGATTAGTATTCTCCATAACCAACAAAGATATGCAACACAAACACTATCTGATGTGAACATCCATGGTAATCAAGTCCAGGATGATCAAGATGTCTTTAAATCTTAGTGTCAAAAGATTTTCAAAAGTAACAAATGTCGGTTTTTGGTTTTTCTCGAGTTTATACTTTGAGAATAAGTCGAATTAGTGGATCTTCCTATCATTGGACTTTCCATGATTCTTAACTTGAGTTTCAAAACTTTCTTTATCATTTGATCAAGAATGAATTTTAGTGATATCAATTTTGGTATCAAAGTGTTTAAAGGTCTTTGAAGTTGAATTGTGCCAACTTTAAGGGTTGAAGTCTTTGACTTGTGTTTAAAACCTTAATTTTTGAGAGTTGAATCAAGAATTGAGTGAAACCTTATTAAGATTTCCTATAACCAAGCAATCTTTATTAAGCTTTGACTTATGTTTTTGAAGTTTACATATTTGGTCTTTGGAAAATTTGATTTTTAAATGATCACTTATGAAGATAACCTTGTTGAGTCATTGAGTCGTATGAATGGTTTGTGTTAAAGTGAGTATTATGAAGCAAACGTCATAGTTGAATGAGGAATTTTAAATTCCAACTTCATTATACTTATGGTGTTCTTGTTACTTTATTTGTCACAGATTGTTTTGGTAAAAAGTGATTTTTGTTAATTCCATATATAATTTGGAAAGTGGTTTTTGGAAAGTGTTCTAAAAGTTGTTGGATATTCTGGAAAGTGGTAATTTCCAAGTTTCCTTTTTAAAGTGAGTCAAAAGTAATTTTTCAAATTTTAACTATGTGGTAAAAGTTGATTGTCGAAATTTTTCTGAATTAATGCATGTGTGTCCGTGTGTTTTATGTGGAGATCGAAGCCTAGTTGGTTTTGAATTTTAGAGTCAAAGTATAGCCGAATTTTTGAGCTAAAAATTAGTGTTTCCTAGTCCTAGTTGAACTTGAATTTTGGTTGTCTATTTGTGTTACACTTTAAGTCCTATTCGGTCTTATATTTATGTGTTCACATGGCCGGAAATTTTATCCCTAAAATTAAGGTCATTGAGTCCAAATTGTATTATGATTTGAGACCTATTCGGTCTTGGATTTTAGTGTTCACATTGGCCGAAGTTTTTTCAGGCTTTGTTTCCTAACGGTAATACAATTTTATTGTGTGTTTTATTTGAGTCCTATTTGGAATTAAATACTAATTTTTGCATGAGTTAAACTATAATTTTAGTGAGATTATAATTAGAGTTTTAAAGTGAGTCTATTTCTGAAAACTATTGAGATAAGGAAGTCTTATCGTAATCTGAAAATTTTTTAGTCTTTTAATACAATTGTGCTTGTGTTTTGGCCGAGTTTTTGAGTCCTATTTGTAGTAGAGGGTCGGATTTTTTTTTCTCTAATTAATAGGGATGAATCTTTCATTGTTTTATGACATAGTTTATAAGTTGTGTGATGGAGACCATCTAGCTAACACTAATGGAGAGGGACATGTTGCTGCCAATAATGGAGAAGACGAGCAAGTTGAGGTCGTGAATGCTAATGGAGGATCTAAAGATGCTGCTTTAAAGAATAATCCTTACATTCGTGATCCACTTTCAAACATTGTTGGACCAATGACTCGTGCTAGACGCAAGAGGATGAATGAATCACTTAATAGTCTAATTGTTACTACATGGGCTAAGGAGGAAATTAAGCTTGAAGATTACAAGCCCAAGACTATTAATTTGCTGCAAGTAACACCAATGGACATGGCCCATTTGGAGAGAAGAATTTCGGCCCTCAATCCTCAAAGGGACCGCCGGCCACATCTCCTCATGTTGGTCGAATTGCTCCCTAAAGTTTAGGGGTGAGATCATTCAAATTTTATCTCTTTGAAAGAGAAGACTTTTATCTCTTTAAAGGATAATATTTGGGATGATTCTTTTTATCCTATTTTCGAGTTTTCCTACAATAAGGAGTCAGTTTTTGATGTCTATTCAACCGTTGGATGAAGACTACATCAAGATGGATGGCTAAGATCACTCTACAAAGAAGATGATGATAGAGTTTTAACTCAAGGGAGATTCTATCCATTGGAATCTTTCTAAGAGATTATCTCTTTGTATTTTGGAGTTTTAATTAATTCCTACAAGTCTTAAATGTCTAAGACTAGTAAAAGTGTCTAGGTTTGTTATCTTATCACTTAAGATAACTAGGAGTCTTTAGAGTTTAATTTCATTTCAGATTCTTAGAGATAGGAATAGAGGTGAAGAGTTGTGTTCTTCCTCTACTTCTAGGAAAGAAATTTCGGCCACCCCTCTATATAAAGGGACCGAAATCCTCTTGTGCAACACCTTTGTGTCATTTGATATTTTCCTGAGTGAAATTGGTTAGGATTTTATTCCTTTCGTGGAGTTCTTGTGAGGACTTCTTTGTTTGATTGTTGCATATGTGTTGTGACCATTGTTAGACTTATCTATCTTGTTTAGTTCGCTTGATAGTGGCGTCTATAGCATTGGATCTTTCGAATCTTGGTATTTGGGCTCATAGATCTCATATTTATTGGGTTTTCTTACACGATTTTCAAAAGGGTCTCTGCTTGGTTAGAATTAGCTCTCTTCATTTTTGGTTTGGGTTTTTCTGCCATTGAACTCGTGAATTGATCCACGTGAGATCAAATATCTTTTCTTTTCTTTGTTTTTCGTGTGTTCTAGAGTCTTTAAATCCAAATTTCCAAATTCCGCTGCCTACAAATCTCTGACTTTCCGAATTAACAAAGTCTGTCTTTTCTTAAAGATTGGTTTTGTCACGGATTGCTATCATAATTTTGGTATCAGAGCCTTCTTATGGTTTTACCATAGTTGGCATATTTAGAGCCATAATTTGGTATATCAAGAGTCATCTTTGGTTACCATAATTGGTTTCAAAATTCGGATTTTTGTTCTTCTTGTTTTCTTCCTCTCTTCGAATTTTCCTCTCCCAAAAGAGGGCATTCGTAATATTTTGTTTTTGAGTTGTTCACCACTTGGACAATTCCTTTTAGTTGCATCCCTTTCGTTTTGTTATCATCCAATAGCAAACTTTGATGATTGTGTTTGATATATATCTCTCATTCCAAGATCTCTATATCTTGAGGGTGATTGATGTTCATTCATTGATTGTTGGAGGAGCTTTTGTGTTGAAGGTGTTTGTTTGAATTTGGCCGTACAAAAAAAAAAAATTTGTTGAGTCTAGGGTTTCGGCCGCCCCTATAAAAAAAAAAAAGCCGTACAGAAAAAAAAAGAGGACGGCAGAGAAAGAGAAAAAAGGGTCTTCTTTGATTGGCTACGTTAAAGGTTGCCTTGCATTAGGAGATTTCAAAAGAGTTGGAAGTGAAGTTGGAAAGAATCTTCTTGAAGAGGTATATTCAAAGTCTATCTCTATCTAAGAAGGTTAGATAAAGTTGTGTTTGATTGGGAGTTTATCTTTGCTATTTAATTGCCTATATTCTTTCAAAAGATAAGATTCTCTTCAAATCTTATCCTAATCTTATTTTATTGGATAAAACCTTATCCTTATCTCATCTTGTAAAAGATAAGATTCTCTTTAAATCTTATCCTTATCTTATCTTGTAAAAGATAAAATCTTATCCTAATCTTATCTTATTGGATAAAACCTTATCCTTATCCTATCTTATTGGATAAAATCTTATCCTTATCTCATCTTATAAAGATAAGATTCTATTTAAAGCTTATTCTCATAAAATCTTATCCTTATCCTATAAGAGTTTGAGTTTGAGTTGTAGTCTGAGATATCATTTGAGTTTGCTTATACTTCTAAAGCGAGATCCCTATTTTTTTTTCTCCAAACACTCGAACGAGATTCGTGTTCTCCCTCGTTCTTTTCTGGAATTTCCCTAAATTTACTCTACGTGCTAATTGACTTTGCCTGCTTTTGAGTGTTTTATTCGAGTGGATTGTTTGATTAATTGTTGTGGTGCATATTGCTACTACTTGAACATTGAAGCCGATCTGGAACTTTACCAAAGGTCTTTGAGTGGTAAAAGGCTTGAGTGTTTTCTTTCTATTCCACTTTGATATTGGGGAAAAAGCCAAATAAATCCCAAAGAGAGCATATAAAAGGTGAGTTGTGTGTGATACTACCAAAAGGGGGGAAAAGTAAAAGATCATTGGTTAGGGGAAGTGAGGTAGGAACGTTTTTCTACTAACATCCTATATATTCGCTTGTTCTTTGATCTTAAAGGATGTCATCTGGAGATGATAGTGAACAAAGAGACGACCGTTCTCAAGATGCTATGCGAGAAACTCTTGCTAGATTGTATAATGTTACTACTCAATTATGTAGTAGAATACAAGATCTAGAACTAGAGGTTCGTAATGGTCGTGTTCAAGGTAATGAAGGTAATGAAAATCGTAATAGAGCTCATCGTGTTGTCAATAGGAATGATCCTTATGAACTTGGTAATTTCAAAGTTAAAATTCCTGAATTTAGTGGTACTAATGACCCTGAAGCCTATCTTACATGGGAAAAGAAGGTAGAGCGTGTTTTTTCATTGCAGGATTATGATGATTCTAAGAAGATTAGAATGGCCGTTTACCAATTCAATAACTATGCTTCAGAATGGTGGGACCAAGTTGTCAAGGATAGGAAGCTCTATGATGAGGATCCCGTATCCACATGGGATGAAATGAAAAGACTCATGCGCAAAAGGTTTGTTCCCTCTTATTATTATCGAGATTTGTGTAAAAAAATTCAAAGTCTTTCACAGGGAACCAAGTCTGTTGATGAGTACTATCAAGAGTTAGAGTTGGCATTGATACGTGCAAATATTAAAGAGGAACCTGAAGCTATGATGGCGAGGTTTCTAGGAGGACTTAACAAAAACATTGCCGATGTTGTGGAGCTTTCACACTACCTAGATCCAACTGAGATGTTACACAAAGCTAGGATTGTGGAAAGACAATTGGCAAAGAAGAAGTCAGATCCACATAAGTGTTCTACACTATGGAAGAAAGATGATTCAAAGAAGTATGGTAATTCGTCAAAGATTGAGAAGGGAAGTAGTTCTAACGCTTCTAACTTCTAATGTTCCTAAACCATCTTCTAATGTTAAGAATTCTACTTCATCTAGTAATACTAACAAAGTCAGAACTAGAGATGTTACTTGTTTCAAATGTCAGGGACGAGGACATATAGCTTCTGCTTGTCCAACTTTAAAGACTATGATCCTTAAAGAGGATGGAAATTTCGAAAGTGAAACAGATGAAGAAGATGACGAGATGCCAAGACTTGTTGAGAAAGTCGAAAAAGAAGTTGTAGAGATTGATGCTTGAGGGGACAAGTGTTTGTCAACCTTCGAGCATTACAAACACAAGTAGCTGAAGATGATCAGCAGAGACACAATATTTTTCATACTAAGTGTCGAGTTATGGACAAGGTATGCTTAACTATTATAGATCCAGGATCGTGTACTAATGTTGCTAGTTCATATCTTGTAGATAATGTGAAGTTACCTACTATCAAGCATCCGACACCCTATCGGTTACAATGGTTGAATGATTGTGGCAATCTTAGAGTCACTAGGCAAGTGAATGTGCCATTCTCTATTGGAAAATATGAGGATGAAGTACTTTGTGATGTGGTACCTATGGAGGCAAGCCACCTACTTTTAGGACGACCATGGGGGTATGATCGAAGAGTAAAGCATGATGGATACAAAAACAAGTATTCGTTTGTGATGAATGGTCATAGCTATACCCTGAAACCTCTTTCACCTCCTCAAGTTCAAGAATGTAATCTGAGAATGATTCAAGAAAGAGAGAAACGAATGAAAGAGCAGAGTCCTAAAGATGAATCTACTTTGGACGTTCCAAAGAATCTCCAAATGATCTACAAATTCGAGAGCCAGTGGGCAACAATTTCTTCGCTAGTCCCAAATCGGTGGAGAAGTGTTTTGCAAAAGGAACAGGTATGATTTTAATGCTTTTTCGTGATAATTCTGTTTTACTAACCAAAGTTCCTAGCAATTTGCCTAAGGTGTTTCAAAGGCTACTTCAAGAGTACGAGGATATATTCCCTGAGGAGTTGCCTAATGAACTTCCTCCTATACGAGGAATAGAACATCAAATTGATCTAATTCCTGGCGCAATCATTCCGAATAGACCTACATATAGAGCAAATCCTGAGGAAACAAAGGAACTACAAAAGCAAGTTGAAGAACTCCTTGCTAAAGGTCAAATTCAAGAATCTCTCAGCCTTGTGCTGTTCCTGTTTTACTTGTGCCTAAGAAAGATGGTACGTGGCGTATGTGCATAGATTGTCGTGCTGTTAATAAGATAACTATTAAGTATAGACATCCAATCCCTAGATTAGATGATATGCTTGAAGATCTTTATGGTGCTACTATCTTTTCTAAAGTGGATTTAAAATCTGGCTACCATCAAATAAGAGTTAGACAAGGAGATGAATGGAAAACTGCTTTCAAAACAAAATTTGGTTTGTATGAGTGGTTAGTGATGCCTTTTGGGTTAACTAAAGCTCCTAGTACTTTCATGAGATTAATGAATCATATTTTGAGGCATTATATTAGTAAGTTTGTTGTTGTATATTTTGACGATATCTTAGTGTATTCTAAAAATTTACAAGAACATGTTGAACATGTGAGAATTGTTTTGCAAACATTGAGAGAAGAGAAACTTTATGCTAACATGCCTAAATGTTCATTTTGTGTAAATGAAGTTGTGTTTCTTGGTTTCATTGTTAGTGCAAAAGGGATTCATGTTGATGAATCTAAAATACAAGCTATTAAGGATTGGCCTACACCAACTAGTGTGACACAAGTGAGATCTTTTCATGGTTTGGCTAGTTTTTATAGAAGGTTTGTTAAAGATTTTTCGACTAAAGCTGCCCCTTTAAATGAGT